GATGGTTTCTTCCCACAGTCGAAAATTGACTCCAGGATTGGTCAAAAAGCCATAAGTTAAGTGATTTTCATTGTGTCTTTGAAGCTCCTGCTCAGTAGCAAAGCACATTTCAAACAGTTGATGAGATCACAAACCATCTGGTGTTGCTCTCAAAACTGAAGAACTATTCTTAAAAAACAAGAAACAAAAAAGCAACCCTCCCCCGCCCCAAAAAACCCTACACTCTGTAGGCATCTGGAGATGCATTACATTTACAATTCAGTGTTAATTTAACCGGTTTGTTTTTCTATTTTTTTAAACAGGTGCGATATAAATGAAATGAACTTAGACTTTAAAAAAAAAAAAAGTAAATCGTACCAGTGCAGTATAATAGCTAAGACTTGTACCATTCCTATAAATAAGCCGGAGCCGACGCTTTGGATCCCAGCACCCGTAAACTTTGGTTGTGATCCAATTAAAGCCCAAACTCTGTGGTTCACGCTCATCTCTAATCATAACCATTACCTTGAGACTCTTCCAAGTTATGAGTAACCCAGCCTCTTGGGCTTGAAGAATTCCATAAAATATATCATACAGTGCAACTTCAATCTACATCATGTATGTTTGTGTGTTAACAGCAAATCCTGAGTGTGCTTCATGCTTTTAATGCACCCAAAATTCATAAGTCTCTTTGGGTGAAACCAACTCAATTTCAAGTGATGAAATCAGGTCAAATCATAACTATGTCAGTGTGGGGTAGGGGACTGTTTGTGTTACGTTTAGTAAAATGGGTCTCCAATTCCTGGGGCGGGGGCCGGTAGGTGCTACCACAATAGAAGTAAACAAATAATGTCCCCATCCAGCAAATATTCATGCACGGTGTATTATAGGAGTGACACCACGGAAGTCAATCTACTTATGTAAGTAAAGTTAAGCACCTGTGTAAGCTTTCACAGGACTAGACCTTTAATAATACTCAAAAGCTCTACTAAGAATGTATTAAGGAAGCCCACTGAAATTCTTTAGATCTGGTCCACAAATAAAACCAAATTAATTAAATCAGGAAAATCAATAAAATAGCTGTTTGTTTCCTATTTTTGCCTAGAAGTCAGACTCTGCTTTACACAGTTATGATGGTCTCGCATTTCTAGGATTGACAGCTGTCTTCTCTAACCTCATAAAAAAAAAACCCTGTCACATTCATTACCTTCGTTGATGTAAAGCTTACCAAGTGGAATTAAAATGAGCGTGTTTGGAGTGTGAGAGCACAACCAATATTTTGGGATGACTCGCATGTTTAAACTTTTGACACCAAGGCAGATAAAACAGGTGTTCGCACAAATTAAAAGAAAAAGAACTAGGTGGAGCTAGAAGATGAGAATTCCCATCCAACTGCTCTTTGCACCCTACCCACTGCACCGCTCTTAAGAAAATCATTGCCCACATTCATTTTCTATCTTTTCCATGCAGATTTTGGTTAGGTACTTATTCCTTGTCCTTGAACTCACCTAAATTTCAGGCTCTATTAGAAATTGGGAACGAAGATAGTTTCCTAGATACACAGTTCTGAGCAAACCTGGACTAAGATCCTGCTCTCACTGAAATAAACAAGATTTTGCCATTGCAGTGGGAGCACCTTTATTACTTTGGATCAGAGTCAGGCTGGCATCATGATTTTGACACAGAACTAGAGAAACCTAGGGGCCGTGACTGAGTCTCTTGATGAGGTTTTAGGTTTGACCCTCAAGGTCGAAGTGAAACTCTGAGGATATAAACCCATGTGGGCAAGAGACCAGAGGGAGTTCAAATAAGCTCTGTGAAACAAAACCGGAGAATTTCATTTGGCTCCAATTTTCAGGCTTGGCGTAGAGCAAGGTAGAAAACCCAGAAGGAGAAGGAGTCTATCCCAACTCATTTTCTTCTCCAATAAGCTGCTGATTTTAGTACACAGTTCAAAAGCAATGGAGAGGCATGTGTGAGAGGCATGCCAGGCGGATGGGCTCAAGGCATTCCATTGGTAACCACGTGAATGACTAAGGCTGATTTCAGTCTCCTTGTTCCATGTTCAGCTAGAAATTTAAATTCATTCAGGCTCCATATCATCACCACCTTGGGATCAGAGTCAAACTGGGAGCAAGACTGATGGCTAAAGATTGACCTCAGCCAGAAAATCTGGATCCAGATCCAAACTCTTCCACAGTTTAGGGCATGGTCCAAACCCAGGAGTTCGGTTTCACCTACTGTAGAGACGGGGTATGTGGCAAAACACTGAAACTAGATCTAAAGTTCAGGTGTTCTTGGATCCAGAGTTTGGCTTTGGGGCAGCCTCTAAGCAATATTATTTTTATTTATTTATTTTTATTGCAGTAGCATCGAGCAGCCCCGGTCACTGACCAGGGCCGCCCCATTGTTCTAAGCACTGTACAAACGCAGAACAAAAAGACAGTCCCGAACGGTTTCGTTTCATGACATTCCAAAATCATTCTCTCTCCATCAGTCTCCGTACTGTACTCGCTGGCTCCCATTTATGAGCCATAAGATGATTTTTGTTCCTGTTTCAGATTTTTTCCTCACATCTTGGCAGGCAACATCTGGGATCAAAATAACAATCTATGCTCCTTTGCTGAGGAGGGTTGCCATTAAAAAGGCAAGGTTCATTCGCTGACAGCTAACAGAGTGTCGTATCCAAGATATCATCAGCATTCCCTAAACTTAGACGAGGCAATAACTATGGAGTATCTGAACCCCTTGAATAGTAATTAGAATTGGTCTAGTTACTATTTATAAATAACTATTTTTCCCCACTAAAAATTCAACAAAAATGAACAAGTTTTTTTGTTTTGGTCTTTACATTTTTCTCTGACATTTTTGAGCTTTGCAAATTGAAAAACTTTTGTTGTGTTTGTTTTCAGCAATCAGAGTGTTCAGTTTTCAGGTTTTCAATGGAAATCTGAAACGTTTTGAGAACGATCCTTTTGGGGAACATTTCTATTTCTGAACATTTTCTGTCCAAAAATCATTCTGATGAAAAATTTTCAACCAGCCCCAGCAATAACATTCAGTGCATGAAGAATCTTTCATGATGATGGCCGTTGTATACGGAAATATTTAGTGCTCATGTGGCTCTCATTTTGGGCAACTAGCAGTTCCCATTCTTTTCAACCTGCCCCTTCATCTTTAAAGTGCTTTACAAACACTGAGTGTCCACTCCTACAGCCCTTACTCACAGAAGTAGCCCCCCTCAACATCAGTAGAATTTTTCATGTGAGTAAGAACTGTAGGATTGAACGCAGTAACCAATCCTTACAATGTATCTTGTAAGTAGGCATGTTTAATTTTTATTTTATAGATGGGGAAACTGGGGCATAGAACCATTATTGGGACCTGACCGAGGCCACACAGCAACTCAAATGCAGAACTAGGAGTCTAATGCAGGAGTGCAGGTCTTGCAGTCCCATCCTTATTCTTCCAGACATTGTTGTCTTTCCCAACTAGACCATGCTGCCTCTGCAGGAGAGCAGCTTGGCTGAGAATTTTGTTGCTGATACATGAGTACAGAGAATACTGCTTATTCTCCCTGAGCTGTATTGGCTTTCTATGCATTTCTCTTATGCCCATCACTGCAATATCTAGATACCCAAGTTAATGAACTAGGCCTCACATAACTCCCATGAAATATGATCCCCATTTTACAAATGGGGAAACTGAGGCACAGAGCAGTGGCATGATTTGCTCAAAGGGCTATACAGGAAGTCTGTGGCAGTCAGAAACAAAATCCAGTTCTCATAAGTTCAAGTCCTGCATATCAGCCAGACAATGAACCTTCCCCTGCCCAGCTGATCCTCCGTCACTGACGATAGAACAGATGATGAAAGGAGCAGACATAACAGGAATATCAATAATAAATAATAGCACCACTCACTCAGACAGTCCTTTGCATCTGCGGAGCTCAAAGGGCCTGATTCAGCAAAGCACCTGAGCATGCGCTTAAGTACTTTCCTGAATCAGGTCCAAAGAGATTTAAAGAGGTCAGTGAGCTGCATTATCCGCATATAACAGGTAGGAACTCTGAGGCACAGAGACATGGAATGACTTGCTCAGAGTTGCACAGTGTGTCAGAGTCAGGGACAGAACCTAGATTTCCTGAGTTGCAATTCGGTAACCTAGTCACTAGACCACATTGTCTCTCTGTGCATGGGATACGGAGGAGCCATTTTTAAGGTCACATTTCTACGGTGACCTCTGGAATGTCACTTTTCTCACCACGGAGAGTGCTCTGCAGTGCTTCCAGGCAGCATTAGAAATGGTTATCGTTTGTGCGAGGGATGAATTACAGGTGCAATATTTATTTATTAAGTCTAGTTGCTTAAAATATTTGGGGTGAGAGAGGAGAGACGGTGTCTGCCTTTCTCCTCACCAGTGTTTGCAACCTGACACACTTCACCTCCCTCTGTGGTTTTATTAGCTGGTATTCTCAATACATCAGCGACAGCGATGATGAAACCAGTGGCAGATTTCTCTGCAAAGCAGCTGGGCCATTGTCCCATGGGTCTTGTTGCTTTGCCGTGTGAGATCTTAAAGTGACCATGACAATTTTGGCTGCTGTTTTTAAAGAGGCTGAAAGGGAGGGTATGCAAGAGTTAAAAAGCGGGGGAGAGTGGGGAGTAGAAAGGAGGGGTGCTTGTGTACCATGTACACAGCTACTGTGAAAAATTCTGAGGCATCTAAGTATCACAAACATGATCCCTGCTGTGGGTGTGAGTGCTTTGCCCGAGGGTGTCAAATCAAATATCCACCGCTGGTTGGTACAGTACATTGCCCCCTCTTGGGGATTCAGAGGGGGCGGGGGGAGAAGAAAAAAAGGTTTAAATGCAGCAAATGAAGAAAATCTTTAACAATATCTGAAGCGGTTTATCATTTACTGTCACCTTGTTTATTATGAACAATATAGGTGAAAAAAAAATGGGGGGAAAGAAAGGAAAGCAGACAACTTACTTAATGTCAAGTCTCCGAATGCTTACCTGGAAACGTCTCATGTCTCTGGGGTTCCCTGCTGTTTTCAAACAATTCTGATTGCACTTGAGGAAAAATTTCAAGAAGAATCTGCAAAGAGAAAAGACTGTGTCACTTCTATTAACAAGAAACTAACATCTAGTATTATTTTACCTGCTTTGCATTGATGCAAGCGTGCATCATCGTGATGTACGTGAGGGTATATAAACCAGACTGTCTGAAAAACTTAAAAATAAATCACATTTCTTGCTGAAATTTGTTACTTATAAGAAACATCTAATGTGATTCTAAATGAAATAGGAAATTAAATGTCCTCTTTTGGCTAGATCCTTAGTTGGTGTAAGTCAGCCTAGCTCCACATAGCTACACTGGCGCATACCTGCTAAGAATCTGGCATTCTATTTTTTGAAGTGTCCTTACTTGTGTATTTGACTGCCCTTTCTGTTTAGCCAGTTTCCCTTATTTCTTCTGTTGTCTGTGTAGGTCTTTTGTGCAACAACATCGGAGGATAATGCTATTGTAAAAACCACAACAATTGGCAGGGTAACTCTGGGGCAGGTGAAAGACCTGAAACTACTTTAAGCTCATTAAAAAAAAAGCTGACCAGATTTCATGTTGACAGTTAGTTACTAAATTTTTATTAAAGATAAACAGAACTGTTGACCGTCCAAATTACAATCTTACATAATAGTAAGAGAAAGGGTGACAAAAACAGAAATTAAGGGAATATAGCAGACCCAATGCAGAATATAGGTGATGATTTAGAGTAGGTATACATGCTGGTGCTGTCAAAGTTATCAATGATTTTTTTTTTCTGTCAAATACACCGATCCTTCGTACTTTACAATTCTGCATGGTCGTAGGTTGTCATTTATGTAAGTTGCATTTCCAGCACTCTAGGCAGAAACTGCCGAATGTTATGAACCACAGTGCTTGGATTTTGCGCAGCCTTGACATGCTATCACTCGAGAGCCGTTCTCAACAGGCCCTTCCATGTGAATAAGCAAATCCATCTTTCTAATGATGGCTGCACTGATAAGACTCATGAATTTCAGGAGTGCAAGGGGTTAACACAACCGTTTGCAAACATTTTCACTTTTCAGATACAAAATACCCCCCAACCATGCTATCACGATCCCAGCGTGACAAATGAGAAATATTTAAAGTGTCCTCCATCGTGAATGTGCACAACTTCCGTGATTCTGTTCTCGGAGCACATTTACATTTGGAGAACAAAACAGGTTGAACTGGGACAAGAAAATCTGTGTAGGCTACGAGAGGGAGGGAGGACGCATGAGTATAGGAGAGAGATTTTAAATAGTTGAAGAATTGGCATGGAATACAGTGAACAATTTATTTATTTATTTCGCTTGCTGAGTGCTTTTCTTAAAAAAAAAAAAGAAAAAGAAATCAGCTTTTGCAGTAAGTTAAAGTCCCAGGTGAGCAAGGCCTATTTCCCTTTCTGTTACTATGACAACGATTTTTTACCGCAGTCCCAAAGTCCCTTCAGAACTCACACATTCATGCCTTGAATTAGAACTTTAAAGGAGAAAGATGTATATTTTCCAGGGTTTACCAACAACAAAATAATAATAATAATAAACCAGAAATCAACTTGGCTTCCTCACCGCACTTTTTATTTACGCCTCTCAAACATCCACTCCCCCCAGCACACAAAATAAATACTTAAGAATCTGATTCCTTTCTATGTGTCTCAAAAAATAACAACGGCAATCCTCCCCACAACCCCCCCCTCCCCCGAAGAGATTAGAAAGATGGGCCCACAACAAAAATACCCTCCTATGGGGTTCTGCTGCACTAAAGGGTTCCATTATTTTTAAACCAGTCTGAACCTTTTCTGACCCTTTCTCTCATATGTTTCACAAAGGAAAACTATCATTTTAGCCCAATCATTTGCTGCTCGCTTTCCCTTTGCTCACAATTGTATTAATTCTTGGTTCTGTGTATGTTGCAGATAAAGTTAAAAGCACAGTGTCCGTACTGCAGTCTCTTTTCACTTTGGTATTCAAGTTCAGCAGTGGAAGATGGATCAATGCTCCGTTGTCAGAGGGGAACTTCTATGAACAGAGCCCTAGTCACTTGGCTGTACAGAGAACCAAAAATCATACAAAACTTCATGTTTTACGAGCAGAGCTGAGTGAATGCAGCAAAAACATATTCACTAATATTCTTGCAAATAAGTCCTGTTGATTCCTTTTGGTGTGGAATTCACGATCCCTTTTATTTGAATTTTTTGGCGAGAAACATTTTGTTTGCAAATACGTTTCCAGAAAGAAAAAACCCTTGTGCATACTAGCACACGGGAATATTTGCAAGTTCAAGCCAGAAACGCTCTCGCTTGCAAACACTCTTTTTGCTGCGTTCAAACCATTACAAATGCTGGCAGATAATCTGCAAAAAGACAACAGGACCTCTCCTGTTTAGGAAGTTTAGGTCATCCAAGCTGGGAAAACAAATAATGTCATGTGACCGAAGCAAGCAACTATCCCGAACAAATATTGGAGACCATTTGCCAACAAACCATAAGCTAACTATTCGTAGAGTAATTGCAAACAAAGTCTTAAGAATCATGACCTGTTTGTGGGTAACAGGCAAATGGAAATAAGGGCTAAATTAATCAGAAAAATTATTTCCAACTTCAATTTTTTTACCTCTTTCCTTCACGTAGGTCCACACAGACAGAAATTCAACCCAAGTAGAGCCTCTTAGAACCCAGGAAGGGAACCAAACCCAAAATATTTGGAGCCAGATCCTCAGATGGTGTTAATGAGCAAAACTCCATTGAAGTCTGAGCCACCAACTGAAGATCTAGACCATAACTTTCTTTTTTTAATTAAAGAAAACCATTCATTGCTCCTTGTAGGCCTGATCACCCCCTATGAGATGCCAAGAGCCCTCATCTCTCATTGACCTCATTGGAATGGAGACGGCTCAGCACCCCAGCACATTGAGGCTTCGGGGATCTGCCCCAAGATACTCAACAACTAGTGATTTGCAGTGCCCCATCCAAGACATTTTAAAGGGGCCTGACTTTCAGGAAATGCTGAGCCCCTGCCTGCTGAAAATCAAACTTTAAAGTGTCTTAAGCTGGCCCCCCAACATCATTAGAGTCACCGCTGAAAATCTTAGCCAGGGTATTTAATATTTTAGCGTTCTAGTATCATTCTGCCATTGCCTACATTGTGGCTTATGACATTTATATTTTCTTCAGAGCCCAGTGGATATACTAATGTGCTTAATGTTTCCCCCCTGGTTTTAGACTTAAACACATGCACAGAGGAATTTTCATCTTTCCTCCAGTTGAATCAGGTCGCTCACTCTCTCCTTTCAGGTATTTTCCAGTCAATTTTAACTGCAACTGGGCACCCGTATAAAGTATTCGGCCTGTCATTATATATATCCATATATATCTTAAATGGTTGCATCTGGGAAAGGCATTAATATTTATTGAGGCATTACCATAAAAATGAAATTTTTTGGTGGAGGAAACAGAGGAGGCAAGGCTTAACATTGAATGAAGTTGATTTAGGGGTAACCGGAGAATTACAGAGGGGCTTTATTAATTTTCTTAAATTAGAACCTTTAGCAACTTTTTGGACTTAACCCACACATGCATCAAGAAAAGAAAAAATTGACCCTGTTTCTTAGCTGGCCTTTGTTCCTCCATAAGAACCATGCTCGCTATGGGTTTAGCAGACTGCTGAGTTTCCAGCCAAAAAGTGAGAGATATGGCTCATTCATACTGTATATCAGCGTTCGAGGTACTGAGGGACAGGCAAGCTAACTTTGAATGACTACCACTAAATATCTGGCAGGGCTATAGAAGACTTGGGTATTTTAATGCATGTGCATCAAAAATAATTAAGAGATGTTTTCGGCCACCATTTTTTAAAATTCTTTTTTGTTCCTCCTCAGATTAGGTTCCTCTGTCCACAACCAGAGAGGGCCTTGGAGGGGTCATGTTGGAAGACCCTGCACATACTACCAAAAATCTGTTTTAGTATCCTGCTGTCACCAATTATTGGTAAAGTACTGTACCACTACGGGGCTCTGTATACAGAAACGGAGAATGGTCTAGTAGATAGGGCACTGGACTAGCACCCAGGAGACCTGGATTTGGTTCTCAGCCTGGCCACCGACTTCTTGTGTGACTTTGGGCAAGTCACTTAATGGCCTGGGCTATATAGGAGGAGGTGGTCGGACTAGGTGATCACAGAGGTCCCTTCTAGCTTTAGAATCTATTAATCTACCCAAACCTCCATTTCCTAGCTGTAAACTGGGGCCAGAGACTGCCTCTTAGTGGGTGTACACAGAGCTAAGCACAGATCTCAGCTGGCATATCTAAGCACTAATATAATACTACTAACAATATAACTATTAAAAAAACCCCAATGAAATCAGCTCTGCTCTACCAAATGCTTATATTCTAAAGACCTGATCCTTTGAGGTGGTGATATCCCTCAGCTTCCATTAATCTCAGAGCCGAGGGCAGTCAGCACCTCACAGCGCTATGGTTTAATGGCACAAGTACATACAGCAGGGGAAATAATAAAGTGCAACGTACAGACATTACAGCTTGTGGCAATGAGGACCAGGCAGGATTTTAGCAGCCAGAGGAAGCAGAGGGAGGGCACTTAGCAATGATTAATTGGGAGGCCATTCTGACACGTAAGGAAAGGCACGGAGGAAAGGACGCCATTGGGAGAGGGAGAACGAGATGAAGGGACAGAAGACAGAGCAAGAAGTGGAGGCAGAGAAATGACCTTCTCACCTCAGAGAAGTAGATTGGGCAGAATTGTGGAGAGATCTGGAGGGGACCAGAAACCGGACCTGAATGCAGATGCATGTGCAGAGGGTAATGCTGGTGTCAGGACCTGATCCCAAGCTCATTGCCAAAGACTGACAATGATGCCAACATGATTCTGATCAGGCGGAGAGAGGCCACTTTCTTGGTTTCCCTGGCATTTAAAAAGACTATGCCTGCCCCACTCCCTTTTAAGTTGCAGGGCCCAAATATCCTGCAATTACCTTTTATTTGGGCCCCTGTCCAGCAGACACATCATGCAGGG